AATTTAATGGGAATCTCACTTCCATTTCTACTTAATCAGACCAGTGGGCAGTGATGCCCGCTTGTTATTTTCTAGTTTCTTATCAATTTTAGGACATACAGTATCTTCACAATTATCCAAACTGTCATTTTTGTCGAATTCTTTTCGTGATCTTCAATTGAATGCTTAACAAAATTTTCAGAATTGATTGCTCGCTATCCATCTAAATCATCTTACTAAAACATTCACACAATTGTTAAGCAACTTTGGACTAAGTTTCTCATTCAATTGAAGCATTTGAAAGTCAACTGTTCTAGTTTTTAAATCCAATCATTTGGAGGTTTTTGAGAATTCTAAAGCTAATTGTTAGGATATCTACTGATTTTGTCGACAATCAGTTTAGCAAATCAAATCCTTCAACTGATAATGTAACAAGCTGCTGATTCTATTGGAAATTTTCCCGTTTAGTTTCAGTTAAATGTTTGATAAATGTTGTAATCTTTTGTATTCCTTCATTCTCTCTAGATTTATACTTAGGCCCAGGGGAGTAGGGATGGAGATAGAAGAACAGAAATTTATGAAAATAGATAAATTTTATTGAAGAAGAAAATTACAAAGATAATTGAAAATGAAAAAATATTTGAGAGACAAATTATGAAGAAAACATAAACTTCTTCTTGCTGAATTCGCTCTCTCTCCAATTGATCTCTTGAGGTCCTCTTACAATGTAGTTCGGACTTGAAATTTCTTTCATTTGAAGGAAAGAATCTTGAAAAGAGGAGTGGACGATATTATCATGAAGCATCTTGAAAAGCAGAGTCAACTTTTGACAAAAGTTTTCAGCTTTTGACTTTCTTTAATAAAGATAACTTTTTCTTTATTAAAGTAGGGATTGATGTTTTCCACAGACTTGATTGGAATCTTGACAAATCATGCACCATTGTTTTTGAACTTGACAAAGATTGAGTAAAATTTCTCTTGATTTGTAGACCCTTGAATTTCTTAGGTCATCAAGAAAACTGGGTCCATGTAGTCATTTCTTTAAAACTTTTTTTTGAGCAGGAAACTCTGCATAGTCATCACCATTATCAGTTTCTTGAGAAAATTGAGATTCTTCTTGTTCATCATCTGATTCTTTTGATTTTGAAGATCATTGTTTAGAAATTTGTTCGTAAATTTCTAAGAGTTCTTTAGGATTTTTACATTTTGATAACAATGAAATAATCCTTTGTTTTTCCGTAAGGAAATCTGCTTGACTTTCTTGTTCTTGTTTTGAGAATTTAGGTACACCTAAATTTTTTTGTTCTTGAATCCATGATTGAACTGTTTTGGGACAGCAATTTGTCTCTTTGAATTTTGATCACCATTTGATCTTTAATCTTCTTGTAATTTTTTGACAAGCAAAATCATCTTTCAGATTTTGATATTGAAAGAAGTCCCAACAAAAAATCCAAGAAACTTTTATATTGAATGCAAACTGAAATAAAAGATTTTCTTGAAACTTCAAAAAAGTTCGTCAAATTCACGTAATTATGATAGAGAGAGAAAAGTTGATGTTCCATTCACGTAATTAGCTTGTCAAATTCTTTTACATCTTTGCCACGTGGATAATTCCATTTGTTATCATTGATGGGAATTAATTCATGTATGAATATAATACAAATTTGTGAGTTCATATATGATATAAAGTTGAATTAATGTATGATTTTGGTGCATGAGATAAAGTTCATATACTATTCACGCATTTAATCATGATTTGTGGTCCATCTTTCTTTTCGATAAAACTTATTTAAAAGGATTTTTCTTACACTCGCTTTCAATCATATGCTCTAAACAATTATTTTTACGTTTTCACATTTTTTTTTCTACTTTTTAATAACACATTTTCGACAAACATTTTTTTTCAAAAAAAGGATTTGTCAAACAAGAACTAGGGGGGTGGGGTGGGGCGGGGGCATTTTTCATCTCTGATCAGAGAGATGATAAACCCTTATATACGTACCAAACTCCTTCCCCTCCGCACCACATCTATCACTGGAGAAAAGATATAATGGTTATGACGTCACTTTTGGGGAGAGGGGGGGGGGGGGGCGGGCTAATGCGTCATTTACCATTGCATTATTGCAATGATTTGGTCATTTAAAAATATCAAATATCAATTACAACATGTTCTTAGTCTACTTTGTAGGCGTCATTAGCATTGAATTTTAGATTGGACAGCAGCCAATAACATTTCTTTTAGTTGTGATTGAATAATCGTCAATAACATTATGATATTACATCGTGTGAATGGTTTTTTATTAAAATCACACAACTTTAAACTTCTGTTATTGAATATATATATATATATATATATATATATAGAATAACTCAAATGTCAATTTGGGTGATACATTTAAGGTTGAAAAAGATGAAATTTAGGATCTTTTAACTTTTTTTATTACTTTATAAAGATGTGGTTTAGGTATTAAATCAATTTTTATTTTTATGAAACAAAGTCTTAACAATGTAAAAAAACAAATCGGTAATGCAAAAAAATTCGTAAAAGTCTCTTTAATTTTTAAAAAATGTATTCGAATATTAGTCAAAAAACATTTAAAGAAAAATCCGAAACTAAAGGAAAAGCATTATGTTTGACTATTATCTCATGGGCTGGTTGTGGTTAACTTATAACAGAGAGTTTCTTTTAGGGTGTGTTTGATTACATTTATTTTCCATGGAAAATATCAATTTTCCACCCAAATTCCTACTTGGAGTGTTTGATTGCTAATTTTTTCCATGGAAAACATTTTCCAACTTTTGAAAATATGCCTAATTTTCCTTGTTTTTAAGGAAAATATTTTCCTTGGGTAGAGGTGGTTTTTATTTTCCACAAAAGATGGAAAATATTTTTTTTTCTAGGTAATATTTTTCATGCCAATCAAACACACTCTTAATTCTTTTCTAAAGTTTGATTATTCTATTTGAAAGCAACGAATAAATTACTTTAATATTTGTGTTTGTTACAAAAACAAAAAATAAATAAAAATAAAAATCTTCAGTTGACCTTGATTTTTGATTGTCAGCTCAGCAAACTAATCATGGTGTGGAAATCTATGAGTAGGATCTAGATTGGAGGTTGGCCTAGATGATAAGTTATATTTTAACGTTTGTACGATAATTGCAGCTATAATTTGTCTGCTAACAATTAAGCTTCCGTTTGAGCCCCATTATTTCTCATTACATTAAATTAAATTTTTCTCTCTCCTACTTTTAACTACACAATCTTCAATAAAATGATATTACACGTAAATCAAAAACTTTTCAACCACTTATTTTTCAAAAAAATACTATTCATCTCATTATAATCTATCTATAATGGGGTTCAAACGGGGGCTAAGTTAGTACTGTGATACTTAGGGTTTGTCATAATTCCATTTGATTTTGATTTCAAAAGAATCAAATCGAACTACGAATCAATAATTTTTTATTATTTTTTTACAATGAAGTCAATGGGCCTAAATAAAACAAAAATAAAGAGCAAATTGTAATTATAATCTCAATTTTTTGAAACAGTACAAAAAAAATAATTAAAAAATAGTTGCAATTTGTTTTATTTAAATAGGAGGGTATATTCATCATCTTACAGCTTTTAATTAAAAAATGGATAAAAATGATGACTTTAGCAATTAAATGTGAAAATAAGAGTGAAACGCCAAACAATGAAATGAATTGACGTTTTGCACAATAATATTAAAAATTATGGATGTTTTGTGTTAATTATCCTTTTAATAATTTATTGAGACTAGTTTGCTCTCTTTAAAAAAGTTTGGGAGTATGATTGCAATTTGCTCTTTAATTTTTTTTTCTTTTCTTTTCTTTTTTGTTTTATTTAAATATCAGAATATACTAGTCATTTTACAATCTTCTTTTGAAAAATTAGACGAAAGGGATGATTTTCACAATGAAATGTGAAAGTAGGGTTAAAAATGTCAAAAAATGAAATGTAGAGGCATCTTGCACGATAACGTTAAAAGATAAGTATGTTTTGTGCTAATTGCCATTCACAAAAGGTATATATAACTAATTTTTCAATACTTCATTCATGACTTTCTAAGTTAGCCCTTTGTTTGTCTTTCATTAAATCAAAACTCTTTTTTTTTTTTTCTTTTTTTAAAATTCATTTTTAACCACACGTTAACATAATAATATATTTTACATGTAAATTCAATTTTTTTCTATTTTTAACCACACATTCTCAAAAAAAAAAAAAACACTATTCTAAAACTCATTTTTCTAAAAAAAAAACCTTCTTAATGGAAGACAAACAATGGCTTAATCTCCAACAGCATGAGCTAAGTAAAATATACAAAATAAAATGATTTGTGCATTTTTACTATGCCTAGAAAGAGTGAAAATATTTAAAAGTAACTTAAACTTGGCCATACTCATGTTTAAGATTAGTAACTTATTTTCTAATCTTTTCTAAACATGAAAAATAAGTTTGAGCCCCTATTTAGTAAGGATTAAAATTAAAATTTTTAGTAGATTTTGATAAAAATTTATAAAATGTATAATTAAAAATTGTAGATTTCATGTATTGTTAATTTAAATTTTAATCTCGCCAAATATGAGCTTAGTTTATAAATTAATATAATTTAATTTCTGTCCGAAACTTTGGCAAACACGAGCCTCTTAGAAGTGTCCTGAAGGTGGTCTGCATTCTTACTACATATGAATGCATGGTGCTGGAATCGCAAGCATGCAGCACCCTTGTATTGACCACCGAAATAGTGGCGCCTGAGCACGCCATGGATATTGGATTTCCTTGGGTCAGAAATATCTGCGTTATTTATAGAAAAAAACTGCACGTACAGGTAAATTTTTGCAGAGGCATTACAGCCCCCTCACTGTTTAGGGGCGAGCCCCACATGTAATTAAAATTAAAAAAAAAATTGTGGAGCCCATCCCCACCTGTTTCTTAAAAAAAAGGAACGTGTAGCTTCACTGTTATTTATATAGCATGAGTATATGTTGATTAAACAATTAGTGGCATCAACTTTTAGATTCAACCCAATTCCACAAATCAGTGCTCTCTCTCTCTCTCTCTCTCTCTCTCTCTCTCTCTCCGTGTAAATTTTATTTTGATATTTTGTTGTGTTGTCCAAAAGAACTCATCTAGGAAGACGAAACTGGTGTGCGATGAAGAAGCTGAACCACCAGCTGGGATCTCACGCGCCGTCGCCTCTAAAGGAAGGCTTCTACTTTGTTTTAATAATCTTATTCCTAATGGAAATTGCTGGAGCTCAAACTACAAGAAATGCCACCGTTGATCCTTCTGAAGGTTCTCCTCTCTCTCTTATCAGTGTATCTGTATGTGTGTAATTCACTAAATTTACACAGTTGTATTGCAAAATTTTCGGATTTTTTATTTAAATGCTTGAGAACTTTGTTGTTTTTATAAGATTTTTGTTTCTTGTTCTTCTTAGTTTCTTGATTTCTTCACACAGGCTTCATGCTGTTACTCTGTTGTACACAGTTTAATCCAAATGGATGATTTTTTCTTAATTTGATCAAGAAACTAAAACGAAATTCGGTTCTCAATCCGGAAAACATGTTTGACTCCCATTCTTCAAAGGGCTTATTTTCAACTAACTTATTTTCGACTACGTTTTGCTAATAAAATAATTTTACACTTGAATTTTCAATTTTTTTATTATTTTTTTAGAATTATATTTTTGAACTATACATTCTTAAAAAAATTTACTATTATAAAATATATTCTCAATAAAAATATGGCTTAATATATATTCAAATTAAAATGGGTGGAATAGTATTTTTTTGGATAATAAGTGGTCGAAAAAAATGAAAATTTTTCGATTTACGTGTAATATTATTTTATAAAAAATTATGTGATTAAAAATATGAGAGGAAAAAATGAAATTTAATCTAATGATAGCCAAACGGGCTAAAAGTCGTTGTAGTCAACATTTTTCATTTGATTGAACTATTGTTGCATTTTTTATTTTTATCAATTTATACTTATTGTAAACAATATTTGTTTCACTGGTCAAAGGTGTCACGTGGGCGCCCAGCTTTCCCTGTCTCCAACCTTGATCATGTGGCTTTTTTCATTCAAATAAGATAGGTTGAAAAAACTTGACTCTTCCACATTGAAACCCCTAAGTTTATGTTATCTCCTTGGGAAATTCATTATTGGCCCCCTACAAGGTTTGACACTTCCCATTACTTTTTAAAAAATATTTGTTGTACATCCTCATTACATAATTTTTTACAGGTTGATGATGAAATTTCACAAAAAGAAAAAAAAAAGAAAAAAAAAAAAGAAAAAAGAAAAAGTGAGGAATTCTTTTTACAATTAAGTTAATTGTACAGAAATTGCTTACACTTTTGTATAATGATGTGGTTATTCAAATCAAAGATCAAAATGAATGTGGCATAACTCTTTTTTTATGAGTAATGTTATTCATTACCATTCATATTAAGGACTAATTTAGTTGATAATTACATGACATTAAATAACAGATTCATATAAATTCAAAGTCTCACAACTCATTTAATCGAACCTATAAAATATAGTCATCTAGACTTGTGTTAGATAACATTATTTTTTTTTTATTTGGTTGTCGAGGTTTTGATAAATAAATTTATAAGTTGTAATGTATATATATCACAATTGATTAAATTTTTTAACAAATTTTGATAAATATATGAGATTGAAAATTATGAATTTCATAATACAATATGTTATTAAAATTAATTATTATCATTGGGTTACCTACACCAAAAAAGGGGCTTGGTCAAAATAACAAATAGTGATAGACTCAACAAATTTTAATGATGCTAATTTTCTTTTATAATCACGATTAATCAACTTTGCAATTTATTATTATTATTCACATTTTTTTCTTCATTTTACAAGTTTTTTTCTTTATTATACTTAACTCGAAGTTGGTTTCATTTGTTATCAAGGGACCATCTCCACATTTGGTTACTCCGTAATTAATTACATCTCAATTTGAATCGGGTAAAATAAAATGGTAATTGTAACATGCTTTCGAATTTTGCAGCAAGAGCTTTGAACTCTATTTTTCAGCGTTGGGAAATTTCTGGAACAAATCAAGGATGGAACATTAGCGGCGAATTATGCGACGGAGTTGCAACTGATGATACAGTAATTGACATTATCAATCCGGGTATTAAATGTGGTTGCTCTTTCAACAATGGCACCGTTTGCCGCATTACTGCACTGTGAGTTCCCCTGTACTTTTCTTTGGTTGTGGGGTTGAAAACACTCTCACCCAATTGTATTTCGTTTCACTTTGATTACTTACTTTAAACGATTCCAAATTAGTCTTTGAAATATCATTTTATGTTGATTTTTGGCTCCGAACGTCGTACTTTTGCAGGAGAGTTTATGCACTGGATGTTGTAGGTCCAATACCGAATGAGCTCTGGAATTTGACTTACCTTACTAATCTGTATGTTTTATTTTATTTTATTTTATTTTATTTTTTTCATTAGTTGATTTGCTCAATTACATGTGATGGTTAATTAGTTTCTTGGCTCCTACTTTTTCATTTGTCTGTCCACATTGTTATTTCTCAGAGGCTGATGATACAGGTGTTTTCCCTACTTCTATTGCAGAAATCTAGGCCAAAACTATTTGACAGGTCGACTGCCTGCATCTATTGGAAATCTCACTCGCATGCAGTACTTGTAAGCTATATTGTTTGTGATTTAGGACTTAGGAGTCATGTCAATTAACATTGTTTTAAGTGTTATCAGAAATATTACTAAATTTTAATTATTGTCTTCAGGTCTATTGGAATTAATGCATTATCAGGGGAGCTTCCAAGGGAACTTGGGAGGTTGACAGACTTAAGATCGCTGTAAGAACTTATATGATTTATTCATGAGGTTTAAACCCCCAATCAGCTCCCATTCGTGCATGTACATATAAATTTATGTACTTGTTTATTTGTGATTTCCACTTGCTTGCGTAGGAGTTTCAGTACAAACAATTTCTCTGGTCCTCTACCATATGAGCTTGGGAATTTAACAAGACTAACTCAAATGTAAGTATTGATGTCACTTCACACTTATTCTCTTGTTCCAATATGACTAAGGGAGTTCTTCGTGCTTTATCATTTAGGATTCTATGTTGCTGGACTGCTTTAACATCTGTATAGACAAACATCATCTCTAAACTTGACGTAGACATGGACCAATACGAAGAACATATTTCTTTTAGATCTTTTCCGTTTTCCTCTGTTCCTTGACTCAAGACATCTTTTTGACAACGATGACCTGATTTTGCCTTTTGCATTCTAGTTATCTTCTTATACATGTTGGTGAGCTCACTTGTAATTCTGAAGTTTTATTTTTTATTTTTATTATTATTTATTTTATTTTTTTGGCAATTTCAATCTACTCCATAGTGCTTGTGACCATCTAGAAATTTTCTCGATCTTATTAGTTGTATTATGAGAAGAGACAAAAATTATTTTTGTGCAAGGAAAAAGAAAAAGGTTCCTTCCCAGTTTTTCATTGAAAACCTGTTATTTTCTTAGCAGTTACTTTGATAGCGCTGGTGTTAGTGGCCCAATACCCCCAACATTTTCAGGTCTGGCGGGATTGGAGAGAGTGTAAGAACATATTATCTTGCTCCTTTGTTCTTCTTTAGTGATAGATAAATTTAATATGTTGTCTTCTCTGATCAAGCACATACTGGAATAAATTTTTGGGAATTTCAGGTGGGCCTCAGACAATGAACTCACTGGTCGTATTC